AAATCCAGCTTATGTGGTATTGGAGATCAATCTTTGGGTACCATGTATTAGGCAAGCATACTACTAGCTGAGTTACAACCCCAGAAGTACACAAGGAACCCAAGAAACATGAGGTACACGGGCTTCACTAGGTAGCTACAAGGACAATGTGTTCTTCCTCTTTACCAATGCCATGGCCAAAATGGACCTTAAGATTATAACATTTCCAGCATTTTCAATGTGTGACAAGCAGTCAACATTTCCACAGGAAAAAGGAAAAAAATGCCCTATGAATTCAAAGCTACAAAATGAATAAATGTAAACAACAAACTAGCATTATATCTGAGAAACATAATACACTGATATCCCAACTACACAAGGAAACACAACCGTGTCCAGGTGTGGTGGTACGTGACTTTAATCCCACAACTTGGGAGGCAAAGGCAGGAGGGCTCTCTGTGAGTTTGATGACAACCTGGTCTACACAGTGAGTGCCAGGACAACCTGGACTAAAGAGACACACACTGTCTCAGACAACCAATCAATCAAACAACATCAACAAAACCCTAACCCTGCCAACAGCTGATGGACCAGTCTGTTTGTCCCCTCAGCACCAAGGGGGAGTTGTACTGACCTAGGCTATGTGCTTATCTCCCGAGTCTTCCGTTCCACTGAGTGGTGAGTTCTGGAGGGATGGCCTTGATGGCTACCCTCACCCCATCTCTAACCCCATCTCTACAGCATTTATCAGGCCTAGGCACATAACAGACCAATTAACCATGGAAGACGAAAGATAATGTGTCTAAGTCAGAAACTGGATGGTAGAAATTAAGTCAGCCCAGAGTAGAGTTAGGCATTGTGCCACTGGAACTGGGGGAAACAGTCTCATGAGATGTGTCCTGTAGCTAATCCAAAAAATAAAAATTAGGTGTTTCTTCTATGGTACCACCGAGATCATGTAACAGAACTCCCCCCAAAAAGATCAGCACAATGAGCCAAAGATTTGAAGATGAGGATTAACAAATCCTATTGAAGCTGAATGAAGAAAACCACTGGCCAATCTGAGGGTGTAAAATCAGACTGAACAGATCCAGGAAGAGCAACGCAGCCTGTCCCTTGCAATTCAAACTAACACCCGGACCCGGGATGAGGCTCAGAGCAGAGAAAGCCTGTCTGCCTAGCATGCACAACGCCCTGGGTTCTACGCCCACTGCTATTACATAAAAACCAGGGCTAGTGGGTGACACATTCCTACATTTTCAGTACTTGAGAGGCAGAGGCAGGAGGACTGGCAGTCCAAGGTCATGCTCAGCTATGTACTGAGTTCCAGGCTAGTCTAGGCTACACGAGACCCTGTCTCAAAAGAAAGAAATGAATAGATAAATGGCAGTCAAGATTATTTGGTGCTGTGTGGGGGGTTCCAGTTGTTATGAAGTCTATGTGAAAAATAACAGAAACGAATAGCAACAGATGGGAAGAACGGGAGGAAAAGGCGGGATGCTCAGGCGTTGCACTGCTATTCATAACTGAATCCTGACCTAGCACAATGTGGCAAGGCTGGAGCACAAGACATCCCACAGGGGACAGTGTATGGAACGGATTTGAGCACCCAGACATCATTTCGTTATATGACTCAGCTGCACACAGAGGAGACACAGAATTAATGAAGACCACTCAACAGAAAGGACAGGTGGTATTTCCAATCACATATAATGAATCTAAACAAATCGCAGGTGGATTAGAAGTTAATGATATTTTTTAAAGAGAGAGGATTTAATAAAACAATAATAAAACTTGGGAAATAAATGTTTATCAGGTGCGAACAGACTCCAGAGACCATTAAAGCATCTTTGAACTTCTTAATAGAGCAACAACAGACATGAGTCACGATTTGAATACAGAGGAAAAAAGAAAAAAAAACTCTATGTGTAAATAAGACCACAAAGCAAAAGTAAACTATTTTATATTAAGTGTTACACATATTTTAAAATACCAATATCCTCAATATATAAAGAGCTTTTCCATATCAACAAGAAAAGGACCTACTAAAATGCATGCAAACAAAACATGTAAAGCAACTAAAATAAGAGATATACACAGGCAATAAGGCCATGAGGTGCTCAGATTCACAACTGGTGGAAAGAAACTAAACACACATAACATGGGGCACTTTCACCCTGTTGATTCTGAAAAACGCAGTTAAAAGCTAAGCACCATGTGGGTATTTTATAGCGAACATTTCTAGAGGTTATTTTGGAAATATTCACCAAGAAGCTGACAGAAGATTCACCGGCTGAGCCACACCATACATACTATTGGCTGCAGGAGAGTAAGCGGAGTGAAGAGACTCAGGTATGTACACACCCCAGGTCAGCAGATGGACAGTTAACCTCAGAGGAGGAAAACCAAATCACAAAGAAATCACCAAGGGAGCCAGACACCCCAGCTACCATAGTCTCCAAAACACCCACACAGCAGAATCAAGAGTCCAGAGAGTCCTCAATTATCATGTTCAATTGTTTGGAAATAGCTTCAAATAACTATTTTTAGCTTAATCCATCACACCAACAGAGCATCAGCCCAGTTGCCCATGCTGCCATTCCTCACCCTAATTTTATGAATAACAACTTCAAACACAGGGAACTCAACTTTCAGACTATGATTTAGAGGATAAGAACTCAACCCAGAAAATGTGTTGATTTTTTAAGTGAAAAGCAATGTGTCATTTTAAATTAATGTCCAGGTGTAAGATGTCAGTAAGAATTAAAGTTTTACAACATTTTGGTGACACAGCTGTCTCTTACAGTACTGGACCCATAGTCTGGCCTCAGGACCCAAGGACTAGACTGGCAAACACTTGGGGGTGTGTTCCAGAGGTCTTATCAATTCTTTCTGGAAGCAGACAACGACATCATCTGTATGCCATCTGAGGGGACCATTCTGCCCAAGTATGACTGTGACCCTGAGACACCACGACTAATGTCACATCCCTACTTCCCTGTCCCAGCTACAGAGCACAGAACATCAACCAGATGCCCTCGCAGATTAATGGTGTAGAGTGCTGGTAAGATCCCTTGCCAGAAACCTGAGGGTCGTGAACATGCTAACAGGTCTGACTCACACCTCAGAGCCTGCCCAACAGCAAGGCTTTTCCTGTGAGTGAACCTGAGGTAAGGACACAAACCCAGTGTGAGCTCTGGTGCATATGACCTTCGGTATTTTCCACTTGGGGAGGAACATTTCTTAGGACTAATGTCATGCAGCAGCCGAGAAATCAAGTCTCAAGACTCAGAGGTCCTAAATCTTAATTCTATTCACTGTATCTTGCACTCACCATTAGTGTGTCCTTATGTAGGTTTCCAGCAGGTTCCTTTCTCCCACTTCCTGGAATACTTCCCTCTGCCCTAAGCCCCACCCCTTCTTCCTGTCAGCCATCTCAGTCCTTCCACAGCTGCTGCCTTGGACTTCCTGTCTCCCTCCTCAACCAGAGTGAAAGTCTCTAGGACAAGTGCTAGGCTTTATAGTCTATGGCCCTGGGTTCAGGAGGGTGGGGACACTACAGAGTCGGTAAATGACTGTAATTTTTGTCAATTTAAAAATAACTTTCAAAATATTACAGTTCCTTAACATTTATTGAGCGGATGCTCTGGATCTTTTTGGGAAACTCCACATAAAGGTTTATTAGAAGGGGACATAAGCAAATGCTTGCTGTTATGAATTCAGTGGTGGTAAGATACAGTGTGACAAGTTACCTGGCAGGTGACTGCCATGTACAGGTATTCTGGAGGTCAGAGACTCCAAAGCCACAGTCCCTTAACTTTTTAGAACAAAACTGGCTGACGATAAATATTCATGACTAAATGAAGAGACGATTAATAAAGTATGGAGACTAATTTTCTCCCCACTCTAATAGAGTTTTTCTTCCTAGGACACCACTATCCTTCCTTCCCACCTGATGTGGAAACCTTATCATGGTCCTGAGAATGAGGGGAACCGGTCAGAGAAGTCATCAACCTCACCTTTCTGGAAGGTGGCAAATTTTAGTTTCATGACTAACCTCTTGCAATGGCGTTGGCTTTGCCCTTCCTTCTCTTCTGTTTGTAGGCAGGCAGCATGGTAAAGACTGGCTGATTGATTTGCCCAACACCACAAGATACCAAAAGGCAGTGTCCTGGGGGAGCCCATATTCGGACTCTCTTGTGTCATTCCACTTTTGTCAACCAGTGCCATTCACGGCCCCGTGGAGTTCGGCACCCTGTCTTTAAAATCACCCAGCATTTCAGAAGTGAGAGAACATTATTCTAGGAAGCCGATACACATGTTAACGTCTCCCGTAGAGCAAACCCGAGAGACTGGGCCCAGTGGGAGAAGGGGCTTTGTTAGCGGAAACAAGGACCTTCCTGAGGAGCTTCTACATGCCGACAGAGATGATTCCAGCTCTTTACCTGCCTTCTCTGAGAAGCAATCACATGAAGGCGCAAAGCATTGTCAATCACCTACAAAGACACTTGGGGCAGAACGAACATAACGCCAGGTGCTGTGACTGCTTGGAGGCTGAGAGTTTCCAAACACACCTAATTTTTGCAAAACAAGACTTTCTCTAATCATGAATGAAAAACCAAACCAACCAAGCAAACAAACCAACGCTCTTGGAATGAGAATAAAGAACAAAGTTGCTTTAACGAATGACGGGTGCTAGTGAAGACAGCAACGGACAGCTCAGGTCTGTGTATCGTGCTCTGTACTGTATGTGCAGTGACAGGCACTCTAGCTTTACAACCGATTCCCCTGCCTCTGAACAACCTTAGCTATCTGATCCACATATGAAACTGCTCTCAACACCCAGCCTGGGAACACCTCCGACACTCAGGTTTGTACACCTGTAGCTTGCACATGGCCATTCACAGAACAAATGCATAGAAGAGACAGCCTCAGGGACGCGGCTTCAAGCCTGCCTGAGGTTACACCGTCTACCCGCGGCAGGACTTGCCTCCTCAGGTGCACCTGAGGTGTGAGCTTACCTGAATTTGGTGAGATGTGTAAACTGCTCATGTCCTTGGACAGGCCATTGGTTTTGGGACTGGAGATGGGTGCGCAGGCCGACGTGGCTCGGGGTGGCCTCTTCCCCGGCACTTTCACAGTGGTTCTCAGGAGGTCAATCTCTTTGCCGTGGACATTCTGCATGTAATCCTGTGTGAATGTTAAACACCCAAGAGAGATTAAAGAGAGGATGGGCTACAGTGTGGGACACAAGACCTATTGATGTGATGAGTTCTAACCCTGTGACTGCCATTTTCATCTGCAGGATGAGGGGGATATCATCCTCATTTAAGCTCAAGCTTGGCATCTATGTCCTGGCCTAACCTAAGTCTGGGAATGGGGAGGACAAATCATCAGCACAAAATCCTAGCTCTCTGAACTCTTGCTTTCTAGATGCAGTCTAGGAACCCGGGCTTGTGCTGTGACTTCTGAGTAATAACCAATGGGGATAGGAGGAAAACTCATGAAAGCAGTGTGTCCAAAATTTAAGAATGTAACTAAGGTGTACTGGGCAGTTTCATGTCAACTTGACACAAGCTAGAGTCATCTCAAAGAGGGAACCTCAATTGAGAAAATGCTTCCATTAGATCCTTAATTAGTGTTCAGTGGGGGAGGGCACACACCATTGTAGATGGTTCCATCCCTGGGCTGGTGGTTCTGGGCTCTATAAGACAGCAGGCTGAGGAAGCCATGGAGAGCAAACCAGGAAGCAGCACCCTTCCATGGCCTCTGCACCAACTTCTGCCTCCAGGTTCTTGCCCTGTTTGAGTTCCTGTCCTGACTTCCTTCAATGATGAACAGTGATATGCAAAGTGTAAGCCAAACAAACCCTTTCCTCCCCAACTTACTTGTGGTTATGATGTCTTAGCGCAGCAATAAAAACCCTACCCAAGATAGAAGGAGGAACCAGCAGCAAGGTATTAACAACAACAACAACAACAAAAACGCATTCACAAGTGAACACTAAGAACAATGCGCATGTTCTCCTTTAGCATTGGAAGCAACACCCATAAAGTCTCAGCAACACGGTTGCTTTACTTCGAGTTGAACAAGAATGACACCAACAAACATTCTAGACTGCATGGGTAAAATCCTATGTGCTCTCAACCCTACACAAAGAACTATAGGGAACTGAGAAAAAGCCGGGGGCAGCAGACGGAGGAGCACCAGGGAAGAGCACGCCAAATTGGTTGTCTAACGCTAAGTGGCAAGCCCTGGAAAACATACATACAAGTAACATTATATGAACTTAAAAGGTTTCATTTGGGAATATTTGTGTATGTACAAATACATATCTGCATGCAAAACCAACTGATTAAAGAAGAGCCCATGAAATCGAAGGGGCGGGCTAAATGAAAGGGAGGATTTGGAGCGAGGAGAGGGAAAGGAGAAAAGTTATTTTTAAAATATAATCTCAAGAATAAGCAAAACTATGCATGCTGGGGCTTCCATGTGAAATGCCCCCACAGGCTCATGCGTTTGAATAACTGGTTTCCGGCTAGAGGTGTCAACTGGGAAGGTTGTGGGGCCTTTAGGAAGTGAAGGCTTGTGGGAGGAAGTGAGTCACCAAGGACAGGCTTTAAGACTGAAAAGCCTGGCCTCACTTCCTGTTCATCTGAGTACAGACACAATGTGACCAGTAGTCTCCTGCTCCTGCCACCAAGCCTCCCTGCTCTGATGACCTGTATCCCATTGGAGCTGTAAGCCCATCATTCCAAAACTGCTTCTTTCCAGGCCTTTGGTCACACTTAGAAAGGAAACAAAGAAAAACAAATAAAAAATGAGAAACAAATCCACCAGACCGCTGGGCCTTGTGTCGGAAGCCAGTGACTATCAGAGGGTAGCCTGGGCTGAGTCACTTAACAACCCATCATACAGTGGAACCAACACTACACCTGGGGACAGCCGAAGGAAAGGGATGCAGGCAGAGTCTGGGTGACCATCCTTGTAAATGGACCACGTGCCAAAACCTCAGCTGTTGGTTTCTGGTGCTTCTGGGAGGTGCTGACACTTTAATAAGAGGTGGGACCTGGTCAAGTTATGTCACCAGGTGTGCTCTTAAAAGGGACACTAGGAGGCCAGCCTGCCTTCAATCCCCTGCCCTTCCCTCCCTGATTCCAGCTGCTGTGAGTTGAGCAGGTGTCCCTGGCCATCTACAGACTCAAAGCAACAGGGTGAAGTGATTGTGGACAAAAGTCCCCGAAACTACAAGCCAAAATAAAACCTTCTACCATAGAAGTTGATTATCTGAGGAATATTTTGTCACAGTGATTAAAAACCAAGGAGTACAACAACTGAGCCAGGGTGCAGGGGCTGCTAGGAACATGGTCTTCCACCATCACCATCACCATCATCATCATCATCATCATCATCATCATCATCATCATCACCACCACCACCACCACCACCACCACCACCTTCTCAATGAGGCCACTTGTCTACAGACACAGCATTTTACATATCCTGGATAAGTTATCCCATCACATATTCGAGAAGGATATATCCTGAATTACTCTTAGAAAATGTTTTGAGTATTTTAGCAGGAAGTAGGACTAGAAAGGAAGCAGGAAAGAGGCTTCTGGGTAGACACAGAAATCTGTGTTTGTTCCCAGTGAGGTGGAAAAGTGAGCCGGTTGTTTCAAGCACCTAAGTGTGCAGGGAACAGGTGCAGGCAGACAGCCCATACAATCAAAGTGGGAAGGTCAGGGACCTTAGTCTGCTGGAGAACAGCAGGCAATGCACACTGATGCAGTTGTGTGGGCTTAGAGTAGCATGCAAGTCTTGAGAAATCTCCCAAGCCATCTAACTTCATTGTGAAAGTGGCCTAGCAGATGGAGTACTGGGAGGACACCTATGATGGTTAGCCTTCACTGACACCTTGGCTATGCAGAGAAGTGTCTAGGACAGGGATGAACTGGGCCTCAAGGTATGCTGTCAGGAAGGCTTGGAGTGTTAGCTGAGGTGGGGTGCCAGGGATATGGGTAGCATTATGTCACATGGATAAAGCCATTGCAGCATTTACTCTCTGGTTCTTGGCCACCATGATGTGAGCTGTATTTTCCAGGCCCCACCCCCACAATGGAAAGATGTGGGTCAACGATGGAGGGCGTAACCGTCATCCGGTCAGTCTGAAGGATAGGGTGGGTCCTGATGGGAGAAGCTTGGCCCTCGGGACAGCAAACGGATGTCCATCAGGAAAGAACAGGACGTCAGCTAGGGCAAGCCATTAGAAAATAAGGCTGCTCTCATCTCTAATGCCTGCCATGAACACCCGCCCAGTTGCAAGCCCAAGTTTCCAAACAGTTATGCTTGCAAACAACGAATTCCTTCTTGCACAGTTACTCCTTTAAAATACCAACTTGCTGTAACTTTCTCTTTAATGCCGATTCTTAACAAATTAAAATACAATAACAGGAGTGTAATTGAGCATTTATTGCTTATGAGTTCTAAAATGAGGCTAATCAGAGAGTGACTAAGCCCCAGCGTGGGCTCTTTTAATAGGCATGTTTTAACATACAATAACCAGGATATTTTACTTAAAATTAGTATAGAAATGTAGAGTCTGCTTTCCGGATCTGAACATGCCAAGGGAAGACATTTATCTTCAGCTCAGCATGGGCTGGCCGATCTGTTTTCTTGCCTGTGGTTGGCACTGGAAGATTCAGAACTGGCTCGAAGGAACTTGAGCATCAGAGGGCTGGGACGGTGGCTCAATCGGTAACGTGCTTGCTGGGCCTGAGTTTGACCTCCAGCGTGGCTGCCTCTGATCTCATTGCTGGGGGAGAGGGGCAAGAGCACCCCTGGGCTAGCTGCCCAGCTGTTCTAGCTGTGTTCCAGGTGGGGAAAAACCTGAAGCAGGGCTGGAGAGATGGTCAGTGGTTAAGAGCACAGGCTGCTCTTCTAGAGGACCCAGGTTCAATTCCCAACATCCACATAGCAGCACACAACTGCCTGTAACTCTAGTTGCAGGAGACCTGACATCCTCGCACAGAATATATACAGGCAAAACACCAGTGCACATTAAATAAATAAAACAGAGGCAGATTCTCAACACTGAACTGTTAGCCTCTGCAGGTTCGTGTGCACACACATACGCACCAACCAACAGACATGCGCTTGGCAATTCCTGTGTTTCTGTTCCGCCTAGTTTCTTCTCCCAAGAGAAAAACTGCCCTGAGTTTGATCCTGCTTCTGCAAGAACGGGGCCTTTTCATCTCTCCCCAGCTTGGTACTTGAGGAATTAAAGCTGCAACCACTAAACAATGTGGTGTCTTCAGAAGCAGGAAGGACAGTGCAGACCCTGGGTGAGCATGAGGTAGGGACCTCGCTGGGTAAAATAAAGACAGCAAGCTTATTTTGATATGCAAATACTTCTCAGCTACCCTTCTTCGTGTTAGCTGCAGAAAATGCTGATCGAAGATAAAAGAGGGGAAAAACCCTTTAACAAGGCATGAGGGTAATCCAAAGGCAAGTACTTTTAAACAGCACTTAACAAGTCCCTGGGGCCCACTCAAGAGCCAGGCCCCCCAGACGTGCCATCTCCTGCCCCTCAACAGCTTGAAAAAGTAGTAATTGCAAACCTATTTGCATTTTTCTCCTCAACTTGTCCACGCTTATCATGTGGGTTCGTTTTTTTTTCCCTCCAAGCAGGCACCAGAGCAAAGGGACTGTTCCCGAACACGCCAACAGCTCGGTGACCACGCCTTGCTGTCCCCTGTACCCCGCGCCTGCACCTTTGCCTTCCCGTTTTTCACATTTTGCTCCTAATTATGTTGCATCTATTGCAGTACACTTAATTAGCTGCATTAATGTGATTTCTTTTCACATAGTCAAGCAATTAAGAGCTATGATTGAGTTTCATTCAATTAGCCTCAACAAACATGCTAATTGATGTCCCAGATGCAAATGAGGTGCAATGAGAGAGACCTGCTTCGCAATTGAGAGCCACGTCAGAGACCCAGAGCTTCCAGCTTGCTGACAGAAGCACAGCTTAACGTGGCTCCCGCCTTCTGTGGGGTGGCCTTAGGAGAAAGACGAGGGGCCATTAGCGCCTCCGGTTCCAGATCATTCTGGATACTGAGAATTCACTGTTTGGCTGGCTGCTGTACAATGTGGTCTCACACTTCACAGACAGGCGTCCCTGAACTGGA